AGATTAAAGGACAAACTGGCCCATTTTCCAGGAAGGGCCACAAACATGGTATCTGACACTGTCATGCAGGGCTCCTGGGGAATGAGGCCATATCCCAGGCTCACCTCTGGAAGGGATTAAGGTGACAATAAACATCCCTTTTGCCCAGATCCTCCATGCCAGACTCTGGTCTCTGCTTTCACCAGAAACACCCCAGTGTTTCAACCAAAAGGCTTGCACTCCCTCCTGGCTTCTGCTTGCCAGCTCCTGCCCACAGGCCCAAGACCCTAACCCCAAACCTTTTCCAAGTCCAGCAAGCTGGGAGAATTTTATTTACTGATACAGCCGATACTACCACTGCTTTTGTCAGGAGGAAAAAAGAGAGTAAGAGAGGAGACAAGTCATTTGGAAAGGACACCTCCCCTTGGGAAGCTGTTAGGGAGGTGCTACAGGGGGGTAGAAGAGAGAATAGACACCAGAAAACACGGAGATGGAGGAAGCACCGCATGAAAAGCACTGGAGGATGCTAATCCCTTCTTGGGTGCACAGTAACTAACAAGTTTTAATCACTCACAAGCTGACCACCCAGTCATCTCTCCTGTCTCTCTTCATCTACCACCAGCATTTGTTATTTCACTTGCCAAGCCTGTTGCTTTGAGCAAAAAAAAAAAAAAAAAAAAAAAAAAATCACCACCTTTTGTAACTGCAAGGGCCTCTGAAAAGCCATGCAATGGGTGGGGGGCAATGAGCTGGGAAGAGGAGGAGAAACTTCTGCTACAGCCTGAGATACCTCTGACAGGGGTAAGGAAAAGGGCTTTCTTTGCTCATTCCCTCCCGCTCTGCCTTGACAGCCCAGACCCAGCCCTTTCCCCCCTACCTGCTCAGTGCACAGGGAAGAGAAGCCCACATACCAATTCGCCCTGCATCCTGCAGCTGGATTTTGAGCATCTCCATGGGAGTGGTGACAATCACCTGGCAGGTACCCGCGCCGCAGCCTGCCAGCATCTCCCTCAGCAGTGTCAGCTTTTTCCTGCCGGAAGAAAAAAGAGAGTCAGTGGGAGGAGGTGGCCTGCAGTAACACCAGGGCAGCTGGGTGCAGGGGCTCGGGACACATTTCTGACCCTGGGGGGGCCAGAGGAGAGGCAGCCCGGGGGACGGGGGAACCTGCTAGGCTTGGCAGTTCAGCACAGCCCAGGCTTGGCATCTCTGCCAGCATCACCTGATCTGGAGGAAAAGATGTATTTTGGCTCCAGAAACTTAACGTTCAGAAAAAGCCACCAGCCCAGCCAGAGCAGCAACCAGACAGGAACACACAACCCTCTCCATCCCCAGAAAGCTGCAGCTCTCTTCCAGCCCGGTGTTGCTCCCGGTCAGGGCACAGCCTTCGGAAAGCATATCATAGCTTCAGAAGGCAGCAGAGGACCTAAGCATTAAGGGGGATAAGCAGCTTTCCTTCTGCCATCCTAGCCCTTTAAACACCGTCAACATCCCCACAAACAAATAAACAGAGACAACAGCACAAGGAGCAAGGGGGGGAAATATTTGAGCTGCTGCTTTGGGGTTCTATGCCAAAAGCAAAATAAATAATCAGCAAAGATGGGAGTCAGGGAGGTAGTTTCCCTGTGGTTAGGAACTTCTTCACCTCACCAGCTTTTCCAAACCTGAAAAAGTGGCCTTTGCACTAAACTGGTCCTGCCTGAAGGACAAGGGATGGGATGGACCCTCAGCACTGCAGCTTCATGCATCCTCTGCCCTACAGAGCAGGGATTATCAGCGGCATGTTCTTGCCTAACAAAATGCAGCATTTCATAGCTCCCTCCATCCCAAAGCCACGAAACAGCCCAGCTAAGACTAAAAAGAGGAACTCAGGATGCAAATGCTCAGAAAGCCTTAATTTTCAGAAACTGCTGAGTTTTTACCCTGTAAAAAATCTCACCCCTTGGCACCACAAAACAGTGACTTGATTAAAAAAAAAAGTGCCTCTGATCTGCTCTTTTCTAAAAGGGGAAAAAGAAAAGCATATATAAATCACACAGCCAGAGGGAAACAGCCTCCTCTTTTTCCTGTTTTAAATGCAAGTACTATTTTTACTCCCCCCAGCCTCACTCCTGCAGCAATATCTCATCTTAACCTGATCAAGGCAACTCCCCACGCTACGGCAAAAGCAGTCCCACAATAATATGCCCTATTCCCTTGCAAAACCAAGCCACACTCCCTTACCGGGAGTTTCATATGCACGCACACACAGCACAGCCATGGCACTGTGGGGCAGCAAAGGAGTTTCAATGCCAATCCTATAGGAAAGGGAGGGGAGATGCACCATAATCCTGCCGGCCCACCACGTCAGCCGTGCCGATTTCTCTTCTCGGAGCGGGGGATTAGAGGCACAAAGCCACAACAGAGATTACCAGCTCTATATTTTTAGAGCTCTCCTGTGAGGCTGAAGGGAGGAACATTTCACTCCCCTTTCAAAATTCCCCAATAGTGAGAAGCTGCAAAACACAATCCCTCCTACGGTGTTGCCCACACGGGTGCTGAAGTGTGTACAGCAAGCTTTCCCGGAGGCATGCAGGCATCAGGGTGTGGAAATCCAGAGGTCCCCCCTGGCACTGACACCTGGAGGTCCCCAATTTGTGCCTCTCGGGCAGCCTGAAGCATGCCGCCAGGCTCTGCATGGCTCAATACAGTCAGCAGCAGCACTGACAAGGCTATACAACCACTAGCCCAGTCGTGGGAGGAAGGAGCTTCTGCCAGTCCCTCTCTACGGCACAGCTGAGCACCTCCCACTTTAGCAAGAGCCCTGGAGTGTCCCCGGGGCACATGTCTCCTGGCTTCCATTCAGCGCGACCGCTTTGATACCCAGTTCAAAAGATCAGGAAGATTTGCCCTATGTGTTCATCTATGGATCATTATCCCAGCCAACAAAAGCCAGCCTGGCTTGACTGAACTCCATGGAGCTATGCCAGCGTGACCCAGTGAAGGATTTATGCGCATGGGTATACTTTAGAGATGTCAAACATGTACATCAAAAGCACCTAGAACAAGGGCTTTCAGCTTTTGGTTTGCATATCCTGAGAACTGGGTATTTCTTGGACTTCAGTGTAAGGAAAAAAAAAAAAGCCTAAGATAAGCAAATCTTTTGTCAGGAGGTTTAAAATGTGCCACAGAGGGGTCACACTTCCTTTGCAAAACCTCACCAGCCTGCGCATAAAAGGAGTTTGAAAACAGTTCATCTCTAGATGACAAAGGGTTTTAAATATTTAAGGCACCATAGGCCTTATCCTCAGTGATTTAAAAACTGGCACATCTCAACTGCCTTCAAAAGCTGCAACACCAGCAAGGATCTGGTCCTACAAATGCAGGAACCATCTTTTATCACAGCAAGAGGATGTTAAATATAACACACATAATAGTGCCAAATTCTGCACTGGCAGAAATGTTCCACTTTTTTAACTGTCATGCAATTAATTAGTGACAAATCAACAATGTCAAACAGGAAGGGAAGAAGATTCATGATTAATCTAAATTAGAGTTTCAAACTAGAGCTGAAAAATAAGAAAGTAAAAAAGCAAGAACTTGAGGTTTATGGAGGGCTTTTCAAGAGCAATGCAACAGCCTGAAGCTAGGATCTCTGAAAGCATTGGTATACTGGTGTCACATGGGAGCAGAGCAGGATTTTTTTTTTTCAAGTTTCTGAAAAATATCGACTGTGTAGGAGTTGACTGCTTGGGGAGGGACCCAAACCAGCCATTCTGGAATACCATCCTTCCAAAGGAAATCCTTGGCCTAAGGAAACATCTATACAAAGCCACATGTTTCTATTTGCTACCCAAGAGGTTGCTGTCCCCAGCTTGGATATCACCTTCCTCACTCATAAAATAACTTCTGCCTCTGGTCCATCAACCCAACAGAGTACAGAAAGCTCCCCAAGAGTTTCAAGCCAGAGAGTCAGCTGCTTTCAAACAATTTAAATAGTGGGTCTTTGATTAGGGGACCAACACACGGGAGTTGCCCTTCAAAAGGGAGGACAACCTGTTTGCCACAGCCACACAGGGACGTGCACACAAACTGCCAGTCAGTCCCTTCAACCCAACCCCTGATCTTCCAAGACAAACAAGAAGCTATTGCAATCACGCTTCAGAAAAGCTGGAGCTATGATGCTGGGAAATGTAAACGCAAGGAAGTTCCCATCACAAGCTCCCTCCCACTCCCAGTGCCAGCTCAGAAATGCCTCAGACAAACAAAACAAAGCACTGATGTGGGACAGGTCCACCCTAATAACTGCTCAACGCAACGCCACCAGATTAAACCTTCGTCCGGCAGACATTACTCCAGATATGGCACAACCTACCTCTGGCTGCAGAAGCTCTGTTTGGACTAAGTTAAGAGGAGGGTGACTCTGTGCCTGCACCCCTTGTGTCAGGTTTGCCCTGGCAGGAGGTCCCAAGTGTTTTGTTCCAATATGAATATCTGTGAAGTGAACAACAGGCAGGGCAACACGCCTGGGCACGTTGAGCACGGACGCAACCCATGTTTTGTCCCAAGCAATGCACCTGGAATGGAGACAAGGGCAATGCTCCTCCCATGGATGTATTCTGTGATCAAACAATCCATCTCTAGCTCCGTCCAGGTTAACAGTTGAAAGTGCATTTACTTTCTGTCTGAACTCTGATGCCTACAACTTCAAGCCACTCTAATTCCCCATGCCTCTGTGTGCTAAATAAGAGGCCACCTCACACAACCCCTCCCGCAATAGCTATCCCTGAATAGGCACAGTGACTTATCAGCTCTTAACTGGCTCTTTCTCTAGAGGAAGGGCTGGATTCCCCCACCTATAAAGTCCCAGTGGGTTGGAGGAGGGTTATGTGCATTAAAGAAGTGCCTGGATATCCAGTGGATAACCTATAGAAGAGGCTGCCTTGGCCCACAGGGGTTACTGCCCAGAGAAAGACCAAAGCACAGGGTGTGCAAGGTGACACAGCAGTTCAGCAGTAGGACTAGCAGCAGCATCCCTCCTTCCTAAATCAACAGCCTCACTTTAGAGCCTTTGCAGCTCAAGGATCAACCAGGCCATGCAATGGCTACTTATACAGATGCCACAGAAGAGAGAGTCCCAGTATTTTAGGAGAGCCTGAAAGAGGAGCAGATGAAAGAAGGAGCGCTGGGGAGACTTATCAGCTAGGAAGGCAATGAAGAACAAGCTCCTGTCTCCTCATCTGCATGGGAGAGAAGGAAAAGTGCCTTGCTTGTCTCAGAATTACAGTTGGCTATTTCTCTTCTCTGAGCAAAGCTATAAGGCAGGGAAGAAAATTTGCTGGCATCAGCAAAGACACAATTAATGCAATCATGCTGGTCTTCCTAGGAATCCAAGCTGCTAAGTCAGCAGATTGCCAGCCTTTGCTCCAGAACAGCAAACAAAATGAAGGTCAAGCGTAAGGAGGACAGGAGAGGTAAGGGACTGTAAGGTAAGGTAAGGTAGTGGCACTGGAGAGTTTTTATGAGCAAGAAATAGCTTTTATAAGAAGCTATGAGACACTCTACAGCAGCCAAGGCAGAATATTTAACCAAGAACCTGAAAAATGAACAGCAAAACCTGGCAAACACATGCCAAACACAACAGCTGTCTGGCACTCAACACTTTGAAGATGAACATGAAACCTTGTAGGACATTTTAAAGGGACTGGGTTTTATGAAGTGCTTAACACCCAGATTCAAAGAAGACATAAGAAGTTGTAGGCAATACTTACATCTATCAAAGAGGTCTCACACACTGAGCACCCAAAAATCAACAATGTACTTTAAACACATGTTGGTGTACTACTGACTTAAATCACTTTCTTAGCTTCATACCTAAGCGTTTCACACTCAAGTGCTTCACTTAGCCCTAACAACTCCTCTTCTCACATGCTCTGCTCTAGACAATGAAGCTGCTGCTATTTTAACAGCAGTTGTGAGATTATGGGTCTCTCAACACATCCAGCTTCAGAAATCCAGAGGAAAAAAAAGTCTCATCAGTTTTCAGCAGCCTGA